CGCCGTGATGACCACGGTGGAAACGGCGGCGACAGCTACTACGGCCAGGGCTACGGTGGCCAGTCCTCTGGTGCTGCTCCCGGTGCCGCCCCTTGGCATCAACCTCCTGGAACGCAGAACAACGGCTATGGTGGTGGCTACGGCGGCTACCCTGGATACGGTGCCCCTCCTGGCATGAGTGCTCCCGCGGGCATCCCGCCTCCTCCCCCCGGCGCCCCCGGTCTCGGTGCTCCTCCTGGTCTGGCCGGTGGTCTGAACGCGCTCATTCAGCAGTATGCCGGTGGTGCCCCCCCTCCACCTCCCTCCGACAATGCTCCTCCTCCGCCCCCAAGCGATCAACCTCCCCCGCCTCCCCCGGGTGCTTGATGCAACACAGCAAGGACAACAGGCAACTAACAGGATACTGACGGCACGCGCCGACTAACGATGGACTAACGACCAGGGATTCAACATGACTTCCAGGTTGCCGGTGCCCGTACCCTCGTTCATGTGAAGCAGATCCGAGAAGCAGAAGGCGCAGATGAAATTGTATGATAGATTGAAGTCGGCACTAATTTATAGGGTCCTTCGTACGCCACAGCATGGACAGTAGTAGTTCATCCCATTTTTTCAAAATTGAATTGGTTCACGTGAAGTTGTTTGTAACAGCCCAAGCGCTGTCTCGGAGTCGGATCCGAGTGTGGACGCCGAGAGTTGCTCCAGACAGATGTCCCCCGAACCTTCGTGCACCACTCGCCATTCGTGATTGGACTCTCTCCAAATACGTGCAATGTCCCAATTGAGTCGCACCACCCCAAGACATCGACAGGCGAACCGGCGCAAAAGCAGGCGCAAGCTGCATGTCGAGCGTCGCAGTTGCATGAGAACCCCGCATTAATGACATCCATATCGCAGGCCACAGGCCGCCGGAGGCGCTCTAGTGGGTGCTGGTGGAGGAAGTCGCGAACGCCGGACCCAGGGCAGGAGGGAGCTTGGGCCACCTTCTGCGCTAGGAGTGCTGTGCATCATCCACTTTGAGCGTCCAGCCGTCCTGCGCAAGAGATACGGGTACGGGGCAAGCGTAGCATGGTCCCCAGACAGCGGAGCAGTAGACCAGCCTGGACATGACGCCTTCCCGTCCTCTTTCATGTTTCCGCTCGTCAGCCTCCTCAACTCCGAATCCTTCCACCGACATACGTGCTGCGAGCGCCTTTGTCTCAATCGTTTTTAACCGAATATCGTCATCTTTCATCGTTTTCGAAGTACCGCTATCTCCGAGCGATACCTAAGACTACCGGCAGCCATGGCTGTCAACCCGTTCGGGTTCACCAAGGGACCGGTCACCTTCTGGTTGATTGTTGTGTACGCAGCCTTCCTGATCCCGCTCGTCTGGATTCACGAGACTGTTCCCAATGTCAAGCCAACCGACGGACTGAACGTCACCGAAGCCTGGCAGGACCTGACGACCATCACGAGGCAGTACCACCCGTACAACAGCCGTGCCAACGATGAGGTCGGCAACTTCCTGCTGAAGCGGATCGAGGAGATTCTGAACCGAAATGGTGTCGAATGGACCAAGGAAAAGGATGCTGGCGGCATTGTGCGAACCAAGGCTCTTGTGTGAGTATTCTGCAAAGCGGCGAATGATGCCGATGCTAACATTCAAGCAGCGAGACATCTACCTCGCCGGTTGGCAAGATAGCCTCCCAGGGTCCTCGCGTCACCGTGTTTGACGACACGATCTCGAATATATCCTACAACGGCAGAGAAACTGGCTACTACTTTGAAAGCACGAACAAGCTCGTGTACATCCGGGGCACCGAAGACGAGGATGGCGAGTGGTGGAAACGCGATGAAGGCCGCAAGATTGGCAAGGGCGGTGTCCTCGTCAATGCTCACTATGACAGTGTTTCCACTGGTTATGGCGCAACTGATGACGGTATGGGGTGCGTCAGTATACTCCAGATGCTCGACTACTACACGAAGAATGTCACGGGTCGTCAGCCCAAGCGTGGCATTGTTCTTCTTCTCAACAACGGTGAAGAGGATGGCCTTTACGGAGCCATGGCATACGTCCAAAGCCCTCTGTATTATTTCACCACCACGTTCGTCAATCTTGAGGGTGCCGGCGCAGGCGGACGAGCAATTTTGTTCCGCGCAACCGACTTGGAAGTCGTCAAGGCGTACAATCATGCGCCACATCCTTTCGGCTCTGTCGTTGCTTTCGATGGATTTAAATTGGGCATCATAAGGAGTGCAACTGATTACTCCATTTGGAATGAAAACTTTGGCCAGCGTGGTCTTGACATCGCCTTCTACCGGCCTCGCGCCAGATACCACACCAACCAGGATGACACCCGCCATGCGTCCAGAGAGAGCATGTGGCACATGCTGACCAACTCCCTGGCAGCTGTCGACTATCTCCAGAAAGACACGTCCTCCTTCACCGGTGGTTCACCAGCAGAAGGAGACAAGAGGAAGGTGTCAAGTGGCCGTCCCACCGAGGGCGCCTGGTTCGATATGTTTGGACAAGGCTTCGCCTCTTTGGAATTGCGTGGCCTCTTCGCATGGGCTTTGACTCTGCTCATCGTGACACCATTGATTCTTGTCCTCGTCAGCTACCTCTTGTCCCGAAATGACAAGTACTACTACTTCTCTCGCAACGCCAAGGTCGACGCAGACGATGCGTCCATCTCCCTTGGAGGGTGGAAGGGGTTCTTCCGAATTCCGCTTGCCTTCGTCTTTTCCGCCGGTCTGACGTTTGCTGCAGCTCTCTTGACCCACAAAGTCAATCCTGAGATCATCTACAGCAGTGAATATGTAGTGTAAGTCCCCTCAAGAGCAAACAAAATTGAGTACCTCTAACACGAATAGATGGGCGAATTTTCTCTCCTTATTCTTCATTAGCTTCTGGTTGATCTCGAAGGGAGCAAGCTCCATGAGACCCAGCGGTCTCCAGCGAGGATATGCCCACATCTGGCTGTTCGTACTCAGCTGGACTCTTCTGGTTGCTGCAACGATCCTCATCGATCGATTCAAAATTGCCGGCGTCTATCCATTGGCCTTTTTCCACTCGGCCGTGTTTGTGGCGACACTGATCAGCCTTTTGGACCTTTTCGCTTTGCCGGCAAAGAAGAATTTTGCCGAAGCAGCCCACCACGACCAACAAAATCGCGATGATATTGCCGAGGTTCCCAACTCGGATGCTCTGATTTCTCCTGCACCAAGCGAGACCGCCTCTCGCGCACCTGCGGAAGAACAAACCGGAGAGCCGACAGAGACTAGTGCGCTCTTGGGCGGTGAGAACGAAAACCACGGCACGATTCGACAGACTTTCACTTCGGGCTACCGACGATCTAACGCAGCCACTGCGGACAGCGACAGCGATCTCAAAGCTAAGAAAGATGCGCAGTCGCCACACGAGAAGGAACAGCCATGGGCTGCCAAGTTGCCCTCATGGACCTGGATTGTTCAGCTTCTGTTAATGGCGCCGATCAACGTTGTGATCATCAGTCAAATTGCGCTCTTCGTCACGTCTGCGATAAACCAAACCGGCGCAGATGGCGTCGACTCGCTATGGTCGTACTTGATCCTGGCTCTCTTCAGTGTCTTTATTCTCCTGCCAGTGATCCCTTTCATTCACCGGGTCACATACCACCTGCCTGTGCTGTTGGTTTTCATCTTTGTCATCACCCTCGTCTACAATCTGGTTGCGTTTCCATTTTCCTCGGAAAGTCGTCTCAAGGTCAGGTTCCAGCAGCTTGTCGACCTGCAAGAAGAGTCCTCAATCGTTCGCATCACCGGCATCGAGAAGCATGTCCAGGAGATGATCAAGGAGCTACCTTCAGCTGTTGGCCAAGATATTCAATGTCGTCGGCCATCTGGACTCGACCCGCGACTCGGAACGTACGAGTGCAGGTATGATGCAGGTGCCCTGCTGCCCAAGATAACAGGCAGCCTGTTCAACGACTTGGCCAAAAACAAGTACGCTGACCTTATCAACTTCAACGTGAGCCGCTCAAAGTCGAGCAACTACAAGGCCACGATAGATATTGATGCCAAAAGGTCCAAGAATTGTGTATTGTCGTTTGATGACGAGGTCTCGGATTGGCACGTCCATGGAAACGCTGGAACTGAATCTATCTTAGGGAAGCCAGAAGGGTCTCCGGTGACCAACATCGTCCTTTGGCGCAGAGATTGGTCAAAGCCTTGGACTGTGGACTTGGAATGGGCCAAAGGTGGCCCGAAGGTCATCGCTGCGTCTTCGCCCTCGGCAGATTCTCCAACCTCCGCCGTTGGTCCAGACACCCACGAAGAGCTCCGACTCCGTCAAACAGACGGCCCTCTGTCTGATCTACCCCGGCTTAGGGGTAAGATTAGCTGCGCATGGAGTGACGCAAACGTTTTGGGCACCATTCCTGCGTTTGACGAAGCTTTGCAATATGCCCCAGAATGGATTGCAGTCACCAAGAATGCCGCTGCTCTCGTCGAGGGCTACCAGAGCATTAAAATCTGAGCTGGCCATTCCAAATGCGTTCTACGGCAGTTGTGTGGAGGGCAACACGGAAAACGCTTTTTCATTTCTCTCACTATGGTTGAGATTCAGACGGCAACACTGTCTGTCACATTGTTTGCATTGGCGTTTGAGCATGGCTTCATCGCTTTGGGTACGATTATTGGTCATTTTTATCATCAGCACGCACTTGTTACGAGACATGCATTGTCACGATGGGTGGATGCCACATGAAGCATGGATAGGTAGTATTTATTAGGAGCATTTAATCAGAAGCATTGTTCATTCACTGCCAAAGCGCCGAGTGTTTTGCTCCCCAGTGACGGGCATCGTGCCCCTCGGCCTCGTATTTCTGGTCGTCAAGCATTAAGCTGACGATGGGGTATTTTGTCTGAACGGTCAGCAATGCGTGTGAATATAGATGACAAGGTTACCTACTGTGTCATTCTCTCATAATGCTGGTCGTCTCGATCGCATATTCTCAGTATTGCATACGTCAAGGCCATCCTCACTGCTGCATCCTGTCGACTCCTCCTGGCTGCTCATTTGCATGGTATTTTTCAAGGAACTCCCTCATCTTCGCCCACAGCTCGGCCTCCATGTCGCGCTCGACCTTGTTGTTGCGGCTGTTGAGCCACCCAACGTCCAGGTTGCCAATGGTGCCAACTCCATTTGGCTCCAACGAGGGTCTGGCGACGATCTTGGCATCCTCGTTCATGACAACCTGCCTTTCCTTAGAAGCGTCGTTGCGAAGCTTGATGATGCCGGCCTCCTCGAGGCCCATGATCTGGCGCTTCATATGAACATCGACTGTGTGAAGGGTGGACAAGAGGGAGTCCATTGAGTCTTTGAAGAGCTGCTTCTGGTCTTCGGGGGAGACGGTACTTGTGGTGTTGGACGACGAAGACTGGGGCTTGTTGCTCAGGGCGGACATGGCGGAGGAGGTGTGGTTCATGAGCTGGACAATGTTCTTGTCGATGTCGCAGAGTTGCTGGATGCGTTCTTCGAGGGTGAAGGGCTCGGCGGGCTGATCGCCTGACATGTTTGTATCGGCCATATTGTGAGGATTCTTTGTTTGCCGTCTCGATTTCGAATCCTTCAAAGCGACGTCAAGGATGAGATGAGAGGTTGAATGAGTGTAGCTCAAAAGATACATCAATGAGGTACCGCGTCGTAAAGAAAATGTGGGCCTGGAAGGTGAAAATGGTCGGAGCTCCTTCCAATGATTGGGGAAGCTCGCAGTGCACCAGTCCCGAAATAGGCTAGCGCGACCTTTGATGGATATTTTCCGCTGCCAACCTCTCTTTCCACGTCTTTGCAGCCTTGCAGGGGATCGAGCCTCACTCATCGGGGTGACGCGACAACATCAAAACCATCAAGCTTCTCTCAGCGAAAACCTAGCCATCAACACCGAGCAAGGCCCGGATCACTCATTCATCGTAATCACTCTCAGTTCGAATTTCCGTATAGATATTGTCGCTCTTTCGCGACCTAGATTCACGTTTGCGACCACGCGCCTCACCTGCCCGACGAGGAGGATGTACCATCAGTTTTGGACCGAGTAATCGAAAAAGGACGTCAAGAAGACTGTAAATCTAAGAAGATACGATCAAAATGTCGGCCAATGCCGGTCAGACGGGAGCAGGAGCCCCTCCAGGAGGAGCTCCAAACGCTGGAGGCGCGCCGGGTACCTACCAGCAACCTGCATCTACAACACCAGGCGCCGCAGCTCCTCCAGTCTCGACAACCCCCATACCGCCTCCTGCCACCACACCAGCGCCCGCGCCCGCGCCTGCTGCCGCTCCAATGTCGAATCAAAATCTGAACCAGATCGTAGGTGTCCTATTTATTCATGTTTATTCTCAGGCGGGGTAAGGTCGATATGGAAGGTGCTGCCTGCGAGGTGGTCGTAGCGACGGTGGCCCTTTCATCACGAGTGTGATGAGGTGAGACTGTCCACGAAGGGTCTCGCTCTCCCATGTGCTGAACCAGTTTCACCTGTCAGAAGCCACGACGAAACATCATCACCGCCTCATTTGTCGAGTCTGCATCATTTCTGTATCGACTTTTGCGCATCTGAAATAATGTCGCGAGCTGCAACGGTCCAAGTGGCCCAATATTTGCGGCCTCCTGATGATCTATTCTGGAACAGGATGCATGGAGAAGTATGACGCCAGATACTCTACGACGAGGACAGATATCGCTGGGAGAGGCAGAAGGCGCGCCTCTTGATCCCGCATCTTTATTTACGTCTTCGACGAACCTTGAATTGTTGCTAACAGCAGCTTTAGGTCACAGACTACCTTCTCAAAAGGGGTTATACCCGTACCGAGACCATCTTCCGCCAAGAATCAAGTCACCTGGGTCCGGACGGTCGACCCATTCACAACAAGGTCGATGACCTTGGCCCGAAGAAGTACCTCAAGGCCTTCAACCTGCTGCGCGAATGGGTCGAGAACAACCTCGACATTTACAAGGTGTGTTCTCAGCCTCCTCCTATCTGTCAATACTAACACCTCCCAGTTCGAGCTGAATAAGCTGCTTTGGCCCGTCTTCGTCTACTCCTGGCTCGAGCTGGTCACGCAAGGTTACTCGGAAGATGCTAAGAGCCTCCTCAACACCCTGAAGCCATACTTTGAGAACATCCACGGCGACGACCTCAAGACCTTTTCCACCGTCACCCTGGCCCTCCACGCCAAGGAGAACCCCACCACCAAGCTCTACCGCGAGAACAAATATCGCATCCCCCTGAACCAGCATGTTAGCGGCAATCTCTTCCACTTCCTCGAGCGTGAGCGAGACAACGGCGGCGCTGTCATTACCTACATCCTCCAGACCTTCTGTCAGCTGGATTCGACCTCTCGCGGGCCTATCGAGCCCTTTAGCTTCGAGGCAATCTACCGACGGAGTCAGAACCTGGACTTTGACGAGGTCGACCTGCAGGAGGGAATTCCTGGAGCCTTTACGGGTATCTCCAACCGAGACCTGCTCGACAAGACTGCGCCTTTGAAATTGGGTGCTTTGCCCATGGAGGAAGATCTCCGCGACGACGTGCGGGCTGAGCTTGCTGATGAGGATGCTCTCAATCCCCCGCCTGATGGCAGGTCAACTCTGGTCGACGAGTTTGACCGCAAGATCAAGAGGGAGGAGAGTGCGGATGGCCCTAACAGAAGCGATCTGCCTCTTCCCCCGTCCCGTGCCCGCGATGTTGTAATGGAGATGCAGAAGGTTAGAGAAAATCGCGATCGATTCAAGATTGAGGGCCGCACCGGTGGCGTTGGCGTTCCCGTCAGCGCATGCATGTTTACATTCCACAACACTCTCGGAAGGTAAATCTCATCTCTTCTTTGCTGGTGAGCGCAGCTAATCAAATAGTGTCGCATGCATGGACTTCTCCCAAGACCACGAGCTGGTCGCAGTCGGCACCACCGACTCCTACATCCGCGTGTGGCATCTCGAGGGCAAGGCTCTCAAGTCAAAGAGAGCCGACGAGAAGGAGTTCAAGTTCAACAACCGCAAACTCATTGGCCACTCTGGACCGGTATACTCTGTCTCCTTCTCTGACGCCATCGCCAAGCTTGAGCACGCGCCGTTTGGCGAGGAGGGCAAGGGCGAGCAACCCATTGAGACCAGCTCGAAGCTGTTGCTGTCTAGCTCCGCCGACGGCACCGTTCGCATCTGGTCTCTGGACATTTGGGCCTGCGTGTGCGTCTTCAAGGGTCATGATGGTCCCGTTCTGAGAGCAAGCTGGAGTCCTCACGGACACTACTTCTTGACGGGCGGTTGGGACAAAACGGCTCGCATCTGGATGCAGGACCACGCCTCGGCCCAGCGCATTCTCGTCGGACACGACTCTAGCATCTCTGCGGTTGCCTGGCATCCAAACGGTACCTACGTGTTCACCGCCTCTGACGAGACGGACAAGTCGGTTCGCATGTGGTCTGTAGTCACCGGCCAGTGCGTCCGCGTCTTTAGTGGACACACGGATTACATCTCGTCACTTGAGTGCGCACCCAACGGCAAGATCCTCGCCAGTGCCGATAACAGCGGCAACATCTTCTTCTGGGACATCCAGAAGGGCGCGCGGATTAAGCGGTCTCGCGGCCACGGCAAGGGTGGTATCTGGTCAATGAGCTTCAGCGTCGAGTCCAATGTTCTTGTGTCTGGTGGACAAGACGGCTCTGTCCGTGTCTGGGATGTTGAACTGCCTGCCGAGGGCCATAAGGTTGTCCAGCAACAGGTTGGGACAGCGCCTGCGCAAGAGGGAAGTGATACTATCGTCGCTGCCACAGGACAGACGGAGCGTCCGAACGCAAGCACTCAGGGAGCTGCTGGTGGAAGCTCCAGCGCACCAAGCGGTGGCAAGAAGAAGGGCAAGGAGGTGATGATTACGCCTGACCAGATCAGCGCGTTCCCGACCAAGAAGACGCCGGTCATGAAGGTGCAGTTCACGCGGATGAACCTGATTGTGGCCGGTGGCTGCTACGACCCCGACCGTTGAAAAGGATGATGAAGGCCGCCGAATAATGTTCTGGGCGGGTGGAATTAGATTGCTTTCATCCAGTTTGGCGTTGGGGGCGGGGACGAAGGGCAGGCATGTCTCTATAGGATAACCAGACCAGGCAGCACGCATGCTAGCCGTCTCTGTAAATTAGAAATACAATCGGTAGTTACTTCATCTCCTTCCTCGCGATGTTTTGTTCGTCGGGCTGGAATGTCACCCACCATTTCGGTGTGCGGTGAGTGATGACTACAGGGGACGCCATTAAGCATTGGCCTGGGGCTGCTACAGGGGCCTTTGGGGGCTCCCGATCGGGCGCTGTGGCTGTAGCTCCCAATACCGAATGGGCAGCAGCGAATCACATGGTGCGGAGCAGCTGGTACCTTCGCATTGAGCGTCAGTAAGGTGAGGTAAGACCAGAACCAGAAGCGGCCGTGCTGCCTTGTCTTGCCTTGCGTAACCTCCAACTACGACATCCCGCCCTCTCTACTCTCCCCCATCCGCCTGCGTGGTCTTGATCTCGTCGACGACAATCCAATCCACGAGTATCCCGATTACTGCGCAAATACACTTACCATGGATCCTCTTGAAGAGTCGCCCTGGGGCGATTCGCAACCCACCTCCGAGCCCAGCTCCCAAGCGCCCTCCTCCCAGAACGAGCCATCGACGACCACGTCGCAGGCCGAGGCCAAGTCGGACGCTCCCAGCTCGACCTCCGCACCCCGTCCGTCACGCTCCGGTCCCGTCCGCCGTCTAGTCGCCCAGCCCACCCGCCTCGAGGCCGTCGACGATCCTCTCGGCCCCTTGGGTCCTCTCGGCGCTCCCGCCGCCGCCGACAATGGCGCCGACGCGGGCCTGGACGCTCCGCCCGTCCCGCCGCAGAAGGAGCAGATGGTGATTCGCACCACGATGCCGCAGCAGCAGGCCAGACGTTCCGGACCGGCCGACCCGCACCGCATCGACGACGACGAGTACGACCGCCCCTCTGGCCCGAGACAGCCGCCGCCGGTGCAGGCCGCGCATCCCAGTCCCGTGCGGACGCATACCCAGCCCAGCGTGAGCGTGGAGCAGGCGAGCAAACCAACCTTTCAGATCACAGTGGGCGACCCGCACAAGGTCGGCGACCTGACAAGCTCGCATATCGTCTACTCTGTGCGGACCAAGGTTAGTCGGGAAGAACGCATGATGGATCGAGCTGGCGCTAATGTGGTGTAGACGTCTTCCAAGGCTTACAAGCAGCCCGAGTTCGAGGTCAAGCGCAGATACCGCGATTTCCTGTGGCTCTACAACACGCTACACGGAAACAACCCCGGAGTCGTTGTACCGCCTCCGCCGGAGAAGCAGGCCGTCGGTCGTTTCGAGAGTAACTTTGTCGAGGGACGTCGGGCTGCTCTCGAGAAGATGCTGAACAAGACCGCTGCCCACCCGACACTGCAGCACGACGCGGACCTGAAGCTGTTCCTCGAGAGCGAGTCCTTCAATGTGGATGTCAAGCACAAAGAGCGCCGAGAGCCACTTCCCACCGAGAGCAAGGGCGTTCTTGGAAGCTTGGGCATCAGTGTTGGCAGCAGCAGCAAGTTCGTTGAGCAGGATGATGTAAGTGCAGTGATGTTGTCTGTATGGTGCACGACTAACAATTACAGTGGTTCCACGACCGCAAGGTGTACCTCGACGCACTCGAGAACCAGCTGAAGGCGCTGCTCAAGGCCATGGAGACAATGGTTGGCCAGCGGAAGATGATGGCGGAGGCTGCCGGAGACTTTTCCGCGTCTCTGCACGCCCTCTCCACCGTCGAGCTGTCGCCATCTCTGTCCGGCCCCTTGGATGCGCTGTCAGAGCTCCAGCTGACCATCCGCGACGTCTACGACCGCCAAGCGCAGCAGGATGTCTTGACTTTTGGTATCATCATTGAGGAGTACATCCGTCTCATTGGTTCCGTCAAGCAGGCCTTCGGCCAGAGACAAAAGGCGTTCTACGCGTGGCACTCGGCCGAGTCTGAAATGCAGAAGAAGAAGAACACCCAGGACAAGCTGCTGCGGCAGGGCAAGAGCCAGCAGGACAGGCTGAACCAGGTCAGCGCCGAGGTGGCTGACGCGGAGAGGAAGGTCCACCAGGCTAGGCTCCTGTTTGAGGACATGGGCCGTCTGATGAGGGCGGAGTTGGACCGCTTCGAGAGGGAGAAGGTGGAGGACTTCAAGAGTGGAGTTGAGACGTTCTTGGAGAGCGCGGTCGAGGCACAAAAAGAGGTACGTCACATATCCATACATCACAGACACACATGCTAACAGCCGCCAGTTGATTGAAAAGTGGGAGACGTTCCTGATGCAGCTGGACGCCGAGGACGACGAGACGGTCTTTTACCGGCCGCCGGTCATCCAGTCCTCGGGCAAGCCGCCCGGCAACACGGCTATTGACAGGGCTCGTGCGACTATCAACGACGACTCCGACTAGAGGGCCGGCGCAGAGTTACGGCGCAAAAAGCTAGCTTACACCATCCTTCCAACGCAAAGCAGCAATTTCTTCTTCTTATGAGGCATGAGATGGCGTGGGGGGCCGGATGAGTTTGGAACCAAGCGCATGTGTCGAGCCTTTCTTTGGTTGTTTATTGTTGTTGTACATATATGACAGTAGAGACCCCAGTGGTATAGGCTCAGGGCTCTCCGTAATCCCCGACTCGCTGCAGACCCGGGCACCCTGGGCGCTCTGAATCTCCTCCAACCGTTTTACCGTTCCATCCATCGTCCATCGTACAAGTCCATTCATCCATCATCGCCACGTCTATGATGCACCCTTGACCTTTCCAAAGGTCTTGGCTGACTTCAATTTGTTTTGGTCGATGGAAGCGCCATAGTCGCCGATCAAATCACCCAGGTCGTAGGCGTCGTCCTCAGCGGCGGCGGCGGCGGCGTCCTTGTCCTTTGCCGCAGCGGCATCCTTTCCGCTACCGGCCTTTGCGGCGTCACCGCCCTCGGCGTCCTTGGGGCCCTCGGCGAGATCGAAGGCGCGGCCGAAACGCTGACGGAAGGCGGCGAGCTTTCCGGCCTCGTCGACCTCGACGTTCTGGAGGGACTTGTCGGTGGGCTGCCACAGGGCGTGGTTGCGGGAGTCCTTTGCGGAGCGGACGAGCGGGGTGGGCGAGGTGGAGCGCAGGGTGTAGGTCGAGCCGTCGGAGAGCTGGATGAGCTGGGTGAAGGTGTAGGGGCGGCGGACGCGGGGGACGAAGGTTGCTGCGCGGACCTGCGTTGTCGTAAGAGTGGTGGGCGTTGTGGAGTTGTATGGTGCCGGCGAGGCGAGAGGCGTTGATGTGAGGGTCGGGCGGAGGGCGAGGAGGCTTGTTGGCCTCGGCAGGTGGGAGGGGAGTTTTGACATTTTGGGCGGAGGTGGTGCGCGGCGGGCGGGCGCGATTGACTGGTGGTGGTGGGTTGGGAATCTGAAGCTTTCGTGATGCTGCGATGCGGTGGTGAGCGTGCTGCCAAAATTTCGGTTCGGGGCCGGGAGGTTCCGTGCACGGTGAGGTGGGTGGGTTTGGATGGAGGCGCACCGGGGGAGGGATGTTCTTATCGATAAGGATTTTTTCTGGGCTCTTGGGGTGAGGGACCCTTTACATCACAGCTTCTGGGAGCTGCTGCAAGGGCCCAGAGGACAATACAATTACACCCGACGAACGGAACTCTTGACGAAATCAGCGGCAATTGAGGCTTCGCGACTCAAAAAGGACTGAAAGCTTCAGCGAACGCAGAATTTGGTAAAAATACCACAGAGGCATGCTACCTGGCGCGCAATGAGTGTGCTGGGGAATGCGCTGCGCCGGACGGCCCGGGCGAATGTCTGCGGGGAGACGTCGCGGAGGGCTCTTTTCGGAGCGTGTAAGCTTGATCTTGCTTCTCCGTGGTGTTGAGTGTGTAATTGACGTCTTGCAGCCCAGATTCCTGTCCCGGCGAGACCACAATGCGCCCTCGGCCGAACACCCACACCGTCCTCCGACCTCCTCCGAGCGATACACACATCACCACGGCGGGCGTCGTCTACATGGCGCACGGAGCCGCCGACACCGCCAACGAACAAGGTTGACACGAAGGAGGAGCTGCCGGACCAGCTGCGCGGCGTGATGCGCCGGCTAGCGCACTCGGTGGTGGTGTGCACGTCGACGGACCGGGACGGGCGGCCGCGGGGGATGACGATGTCGAGCTTCGTGAGCCTGAGCATGGACCCCGTGCCGCTTGTGAGCTTTAATGTGCGGACGCCGAGCCGGACGCTGGCTGCGATTGAGGATTTGGGCGGCCGGTTTAATGTGCATGTGCTGGCGGAGGGGGAGGCTGGGGCGAGGGTCGCGGAGTGGTTTACGAGGGGAAACTCGGGCGGTGAGGTGTTTAAGGAGTTGCCGAGTGGTGTGGAGGTTGAGGAGGAGGACGGGGAGGCGCCGGTGCTTGGGGGTCGGGGAGTGCTGTTTGTGTTGAAGTGTCGGGTGCTCGGGGAGGGGGTGGTGAGGGTGCGGGACCATGTTGTGGTTGTTGGGGAGGTGGAAGGGGTGAGGAAGGGGGGTGGCGAGGGGTTTGGGCTTGTCTATGCGGATCGGAGGTATCGTGTGCTTGGGGATGTTTTGGTGAAGGAGGAGAGATAAGCGGGTGAACTAGAGAAGGCTCTGGGTCAAGTCATGAATGGAGGGGATGTAAGATACCAATGCGTAGGTAGATACGGATAGAGTGTACATTAGGGAACATCGCCCACTTGAACATATTGAAGACCATGTCGGGGGGTGACGAAGGCATTTTTTATAGTTTTGCGAGGTCATTGCGAAAATCCGCTCTGCATATCAAGAAGAAGCTTGGGACTATCGGCCATGCGCTTGATTCCGAGGGAGGTTGCAGAGGCTTCGGTCAAGATCTCGTGGACAAGCCTTTAAATACCATCATCGCCGATAGCCATAGTGACGTTGTTTTAGGGGCTTACCAGGTCTAAATCAATGATTGCAACAAGGAAGCAAACATAGAGCTGAGTCGTTCAAGGAAAGGTGACAAAACGACAGGAGCCAAGTGCATCGACAACATGAGAGGGGATTGTCAGACTCGAGCGAATCTCAATATTTCCGGGTCCTCGTCATCATCTGAGGACAAATTGACATGTACGCGACACAGAGGGTTTGCGATGATCCATGTGCCTAGCCAGACGGACGGGTTAGCCGTTGGCGTTGCGGGAGGCCGGGCCGTTTCATCGGAAATGCGGAGGCGGAGGCGGGGTTACGGGGTGGATGCGATCCGGCGTCCGATTAGTCGCCCGGCGGTCACGATGCCGGCTGCCGGAGTTTGATAGTGTTAAAAAAACAACAGAGATCCAGGAGTGGACCTAGCTGCATGCAGATCTACTTGAGAAGCCCGGAAACGAACATGATTGTGATTGGAAAGTTCTTTTGCGATCTTTCGGTTTTGCATTATTTTCCAGAAAAACCGGCTCATTACAGGGTTAGAGGATAGATGCTTGTAAGACGGTTTTGGGACCTGGTTTCTGTTGTGAGATGGACCATACTAGAGAAATCGAGAGCCTCGTTCTGGATTGCGCAGTGTTATTGACGCCGAGGTGAGGCCTTGCTAGTTACCAAGACAAGGAAAGCTCATGGAAGCCGGGAGAAGCCCATAGAAAGATGTTTCTGAGCTGGATGGCCGGCTGTGCTTACGCCCTGCGTCCTCACTGCAACTCCCCAGGAATGTGATCAATAGCCCCGGTCAACGCAGGCAAACATGGTCTAATATGTGATCTGAAGGCCCCCCCAGACCAAGCTGTCAATGTCGCAACAAGACATGGACCGTGCGACAGCCCTGGTGTGCCAATAATTGCAGCTTCAGCATGGGTGTCGATGCGTTGGCACAGGCAGACTGAGTGACACGGGGAAGGACGCCTCACTTTCAGCCTCGCGGGAGGGTGGGACCTAGCGACCTTCACTTCAGGGACCTCGCGGCCTTGCCCGGGGCTGACCAACCCAAGCTGCCTGCCCGGGCGCTGCCCGCATCTTAAGTAGTCTACCGCAGGGCAGCCTGCAGGTAGGCGCCAGCGCCAGTCCAGGCACCAGAGACGGGATTGGAGACGGTGAGGGGGCGACCTATGTCTGGCGGCCCACGCTGTCGCCTTCTCGCTCCAAGGATCTAGAACTTCCTTAGATGCTGTGGGCTACGAACGGGACAGAAGATGCCAGCAGCATCGAAGGCGTTGAGGCTATTCGCAAAATGTTCAAGGAGGGGTAATGGCGACAGGCAGCACCGTAAATGGAAAAAAGAGGATGACCGCCTGGATGGAATACCCCACTGAGGGGAGGGTGCCACTTTGCAGAGGCAAGCCTACCTAGATACTGCGTAGAAGGACGTCGACGAGCTGTGAAAGCTGTGTATGCTTGCTTGCTTGTTCTATTGGATGTCTGTGAGGCATTGGCAAAGGCAGCTCAAGCTCAGCTCCCTTGGTGGCAATGGCACAGTAAAAGGCACTGGCAGGCAGACAAACGAAAGGCGGACAATGGGGAATGGGCAATCGCAGAAGGCGCCTTCCCATTCTCTTTTTTTCCATCTGCTGGAAGGGACCACGGCCCATACGCAGCAGGCAGTGGCCCGGTGGTGCATCTCCATCCAGCCCGCTAAAGGTGGCCCTCAGATCAGCCAATCAAGCCCCCTGCACGGTTGCTGTGGTGGCAGGGCAAGCGAATCAGAGAAGGGTCTGGAAGGCCTGGAGGTGATGGAATCGCATAGAATTTCTGAGCTGGGGGGTGAGCGTCGCTGCTTTGGGCCAGACGGGTTTCTTTTTTAGCCTCCTCCTCTTCCCCAAGTCGCTGCTTCTTCCAATTCTTTTCCTCACATCACACACCTCTCTTCTCTTTTTTCACATTCTTCTCTTACGTCCCATCTCGATCAGAGCAGCGAAACACCTGCCGCATCGTAGAAGATTTGTTCATCAAGGTAAGAAGCTGCTTCCTGCCGCTGTTGCTCCTCCCGCTGCCCCTCGTTCCCGGTCCCTCGCCCAAGCATCTAGAAACGCCACCCCTCTTTCACTTTTTGGCTTGCATTTTCTGTCGCAATCGTCGTCAGCCTCGTCGACGAGCTTCACAATTGCGTCCCATCTTCCCCAGAATTGTTGTCCAGAGATTGTCGATTCCGTTCGTCTCTCGATTTCGTCTTAACCCCTCTACCCCGCCATTCACCGCCAACCACCCCGGCCGTTTGCAACACCAGCTAACAAACCTCTCCAGAATCACGACTGTTACGCCCTAGATACCCAAATCCTCCATCACAATGTCTTCCCCCGAGACTTTCGAGTTTCAGGCTGAGATCTCTCAGCTCCTGTCTCTCATCATCAACACCGTCTACTCAAACAAGGAGATCTTCCTTCGTGAACTTGTCTCCAACGCCTCTGATGCCTTGGACAAGATCCGCTATGAGTCTCTCTCCGACCCCAGCAAGCTCGACTCGGGCAAGGACCTGAGGATCGACATCATCCCCGACAAGGAGAACAAGACCCTCACCATCCGCGATACCGGTATCGGTTTCACCAAGGCTGTAAGTAGATCTGCACTTCCACCACTCATCCTGCCTTCAGCTGCTGACTCCCACAGGACCTCGTCAACAACCTCGGTACCATTGCCCGCTCCGGCACCAAGCAGTTCATGGAGGCCCTCACCGCCGGTGCCGACATCTCCATGATCGGTCAGTTCGGTGTTGGTTTCTACTCTGCCTACCTCGTCGCCGACAAGGTCACCGTCGTCTCCAAGCACAACGACGACGAGCAGTACATCTGGGAGTCGTCCGCCGGCGGCACCTTCTCCATCACCCCCGACACCGAGGGTGAGGCCCTTGGCCGCGGCACCAAGATCATCCTTCACCTGAAGGACGAGCAGACCGACTACCTCAACGAGTCCAAGATCAAGGAGGTCATCAAGAAGCACTCCGAGTTCATCTCCTACCCCATCTACCTCCACGTCACCAAGGAGACCGAGAAGGAGGTCCCTGATGAGGACGCCACCGAGGAGACCACCGAGGAGGGCGACGAGAAGAAGCCCAAGGTCGAGGAGGTCGACGACGACGAGGAGGAGAAGAAGCCCAAGACCAAGAAGGTCAAGGAGACCTCCATCGAGGAGGAGGAGCTCAACAAGCAGAAGCCCATCTGGACCCGCAACCCCCAGGACATCACCCAGGAGGAGTACGCTTCCTTCTACAAGTCCCTCTCCAACGACTGGGAGGACCACCTTGCCGTCAAGCACTTCTCCGTCGAGGGTCAGCTCGAGTTCCGCGCCATCCTCTTCGTCCCCAAGCGCGCTCCCTTCGACCTGTTCGAGACCAAGAAGACCAAGAACAACATCAAGCTCTACGTCCGCCGCGTCTTCATCACCGACG